TTAACAAACGGAGACGTAACAGTATTATGTAAAACTAATTTACATAAAGATGCATACAACTTCAGAAACCAAACATAAATATGAACTTTCCATTGGAAAACAAATCTTCTATCAATACAAAAAATTAAACAAAAAGATATTCCTGTTGCCTAACATTTCAACACACACAATTATTCAATCAAAGACATGATTCTTTTAGGAATTAAACACAGATTTATTACTGAAATAAGTAAAACAAAGTGAAAGAAGAGTAACAAAAGACTAACACTTTGAATACTTTCTGATTATGCATTAATCTATAACCTTTAGATCTAAAGTAAAGATGTAAATTTATTGATGACATCCAAGGTGTAACCATGGCTATGTGGGACCTACAGTTCATTGTTTTAGTTAATGAATTAAAAAGCATGCACAAAATAATCCATACAATCAATCAGCCATTTTTTGCCACTGTTTACAAGACTGTGACTTTATACCTGTGACCAACTAGTTCAGCATCTTAGGAAATGCAATAAATAAAAAAACACTCATAACTAAATAAAGCTTGTGGATTCACAAAATACATCCAAAATTGAATGTTAATCAAACAGTTTCATCTTTACTTTTGAAACTAATTGAATTTCATTGTTGCTAGAAGATGGGATAGGTAGAACTTAAAGCTTGCATGATGTAGTACTATGAACCTTTAGTCCCATTTAACAGAAATCTGAGTCTTTAGTTTCCATTCATTTTGTTCATTTCCACATAGGAGATGTCTATTACTTTTTATTTCTGATCCATTTATTACTTACCTTTAAACTATTTTCATTAACTTTTTATCACATTTTATTGTTTTTTGAAATTATTTACTTATTTATTTATTCATTCCAATTAAAAATAGCTTTCTAATATCTATTCATATTTACTCTTTATATGTAATCCATCTTAGTTTCACACATTATGGTTAGGATTTTCTTTTTTAAATAATTTCTCTAATTCTCATCCCCTTACTAATTAGTATGTTTCTCATACTCCATGCCGGTCACACTTACAAAATTTCCACAAAAAGCTTAGTTAAACACAAATACCTATAACACCACTGTTGATCATCTTGCTTACATTCTATGCTTCTGACTCATTCTAAATATACACCATCTTCTGTCTTCTGAAAGTGCACAGGTTATTGGTTAATTTCACAAGTTACCAAATTTTTGACCCTACTTGCTTTCTTAGTATCAGTTTTGTATTACATCAAATTAATCTAGCTTATTCCCCACATATGTTACTATAAGTATTCCAGTACATGTTAACTCTCAAAATAATATCTACTTTCAAAACAAAAGAATTACCTATGTTTTCTACATTAAATCGAAACCACTGAGAAACATAAAAATACTACAAGTTGCAGATTTAAATTAATGTCTAATAATCATTCCAATATATCATAAAATTAGCCACTAAGTTTACACTCTGGAGAGAGGACAGATCACTTTACATACTTTTTAGTTGCCCAGTCTTCATTGCACTGCAATAAGGCCCCACAAAATACATAGGCTTTTTCAAGAAACTATTCTTTAGTATGATATATTTTGAATTCCTTCACACTAATTAACAATGTATTTACATTTATACAATAACATTCCTTATACTTAGGCATCCATATTATTGCTCTATCAAAAGTTTTGTCAACATTAGATTCTAATTTAATATATTACTTGAAAGACACATCTTACATTAAGTGTTTCTACTCTCAAAAATATAAAATCTATATAAATTTCTCCATACAACCACTATACTAAACTTAAAACTGCAAATTAATAGTTTATCAAACCTTAAGGAGCTAAATCCACAGTACTGATTTCAAATAATCACAATCCTTTATTATTACATTTATTGTGGCTTTGTATACGTGATAAAACAGTATATATTCTAAAAATTTTGAAATGAAGAATATGGTTTAAGGTAAAATGGCAAACTGTTAATATATTTATTATGATGCAGGGGTGAAATTCTGCCGGTACTGAGTACTGGAACTTATTTTTTAAGGCAGTACTTGTACCAGGACTTATCTGAGCTGCTTTGTCATTTTTTTATGTTTACATATAGATTTTTTCTTCTTCAAAAACATATCCCCTTCACCCAGCTGAGCATCTAGATTTTTTTTGAGAATTTCACCCCCTGTTATGATGTTATTTCAGGTAATAACTATTCAGTTGCAGCATTTGAAATGTAGCAATTTTTTTCAATAAATACAGTTATATATTCTACTGGTTAAAAAAAAAATTGGCCAGCTAAAAACTAAATTCTAATGTTAACTGTAACCATTTTGTTCCAAATTAGAACTATAGTATAATTTCAGATTTATGTGTATAACAAAAAAATTGGGTTTGAAAATTTTAATTCCATTCTTTCATTATCAATTTAACAATTATTTGTAAGATCTCTCAAAAAATTATAAAATAAAAAAATATTGTATCTTTCAATTCTATGGTACTTATTTAAGTATTTTAATTCTCAGGGCCTTACCTGTTTTATGTCAATGATTTCATTATCTAAACATTTTAGAAGGTCTTCTAATCTACCAAAATCTTCTTCTTGTTCCTCATAACTAAGAATAGTTTCCTGTAGTTTGGTCTACATTACAAGAATTTTTTTAAAATAATAATTACTCATCAACTTGAAATTATAAATTCAGAAAATACAAATACTAAATAACATTTATGGCATTATCCAATATCCACAGTGTTTCATCTATTAATATTAAATTGTTAAAATTGCAACCATCATACTATTTTTGAATTGGAAATATTTAGTAGAGTTAAAACAGACAGTTCTTATGCAAAAATGTTAAATAAAATAATAAAACGAAAATCAACGTTTTTTA